TCTGATATATGATTTTATCGTTATCTCTTCAGAATTTAGTATATAATGGATCTGTATGTATTTGCTTAGGTCAAGCATGAAAGAAATAAGTTGCAAGAAAATTATTTACAGGGGAGAAGTTGGAACATATTGACATTCTGCCAGTGTGTGAATGTTGATGAGTGTTTGTTGGCAATAATTAAAGTGTTGTGGATCCCAAGAAGTTTTGTAAATTTAGTACCTGGCAGAAATTTACATAAACAGTACACCAATAAAAAACTTCAAAACACTTGCTTTTCATATTGTCCTGTAAGGAAAACATGATGCTTTTGGATAGATAGCCAGCAGGTAAATGGAACTTCTTTAACCCAGATGGGCAACCTGAAGAAAATAAGTGAAGGAGATGAGGATGAGGATGATGAGGATGAAGAGGAGGATGAAGATGGAGACCCAGTCATTTCTTCAGCCATGGTGAAACATAATGGCTGTGTCAACAGAATAAGGGTATGTATTAAAGGGCCAGTTTTTTTTTTATGTGATCAGGGTATATTTTTACTTAAAAGTTATAGATTTTATTACTTTCTACTTTGTGATATATCATTTATCCATAGAAAATGAACAATGTATAATTACAAAGATTCTTTCTAATAAATTGCAGTCAACAGTGATCAACAATGTCAGCATTGCTGCTTCCTGGTCTGAACTTGGTGTTGTTCACCTTTGGGACCTGAGTCAAATGTTGGGGGCTGTTGATGAAAATAGCCAGCAACATGTCCTGGAAGAGGCACCAATCTTTTCCTTCAGAGGACACCGTACTGAAGGTTTTGCTGTGGATTGGGCACCATCTATGCCAGGTAGGTCATCGAACTAGTTTTGCTTGGAAACTGGCAAATATTATGTGAATGTTGATGTGCATATGGGGAATGATAAAATGTATAAGGGACAACTCATATACAAGTTAGCACTATTCTATGTTAGATATAACCAAGTGGTATTTATCTTTACAATTAAGTATCTTTCTTTCCACAGGGACTCTTGCAACAGGTGACTGTGACAGAAATATCCATATTTGGAAACCAGCAGAAGGAGCATCTTGGTCGGTGGATTCGCGTCCATACACTGCCCACCAAGCATCAGTAGAGGACATTCAGTGGTCTCCAAATGAACCACATGTGTTTGCCTCTTGTTCTGTAGACAGAAGGTGTGAATTTTTAGCACTTTTACATATGGACAGTATTTTGAGTAATGTAAAGTAATCTTGAAATCATTATTAATAGGTCAAAATCTTCAACTTATATAGATTCAGTAGAATAGTGTAAGTATTAAGATCTTACCAGAGTTTTTCTTTCACAGTATCAGAATATGGGACTGCAGAGCAAACCCAAGCAAAGCTTGTATGATTTCAGTGGCAAATGCACATGAAAGTGATGTCAATGTTATTCACTGGAACAGAAATGAACCTTTCATAGTGTCTGGAGGAGATGATGGCAAAGTTCAAGTATGGGATCTAAGACAAATACAGGTGGGAATATAATCAATTTATTTTTAACTAATTCATACTGAGCAAAAGATAGGGAAGGTATTATTTTTTTTTATTTTTTGAAAATTTGTGAATTATTAATACATGAGAAACTACTGATTATGTTGGCAAGGAAAAATCCCTGTGCAGTTGAAAATCTCATTTACAAAATTAACCAAGACTTGACATGCAAAACCTTCATATTTTGCCACACAAGCACTATAAACAGTATGCCTGAGAGGCTTTCAGAACCGTCTTATATGCCATGATTCCACTTACTTACGGAGGGACTGGCACTGGATAACTTATAATGCATCCTCTATACTTTGCCAGAACTCCAGTCCTGTGGCAGTTTTGAAACACCATGAAGCTCCAGTGACAACAGTGGAGTGGCATCCATCTGATGCCTCAGTCCTGGCCACAGGAGGAGAAGACCACCAGATCTTGCAGTGGGACCTGGCTGTAGAGCGAGACACCGATGAACAAAATCAGGATGAAGAGTCGGTGAGTCTTGTGAGAGGCACTTCACTGTACCAGTTTAATGTGATAACTCCGTTCAGTCATTTTATATAATGTTGAATGCATTTGGATTCAAGATTTTGCTTAATACTTGTCATGCTGAAGAAATTACTAATGCAGAACTAAAATCTCACTTGGGAAACCCTCTTTCACAGGATGTTCCAGAACAGCTCCTCTTCATTCACAGAGGACAACATGAAGTGAAAGAGCTACATTGGCATCCACAGGTTCCTGGCTTAATAATATCCACAGCTCATTCAGGATTCAATATATTCAAGACTATTAGTTGCTAATTAACTGGTCATATGTGAGGATTATTAATGTGTGTAAACTGTAATGAGCGCAAAGGAATTTACTGAGCTATTTAGAACTGTGTGTCATGTCATATCTGCCAGTTCAGCAAGTTCTTCAAAGTTGTGTGAGAAAACATTCTAAGTAGATACCAGAAATATGTTGTAAATAATGCTCTCTCATAGGGGGATTAGTGTTTACTCTTCGTGGCAGTGCATTATTAATTGTGTGGAACATAAAACATAAGGCAACAGGTATTAATGAATAAGGCATAAGTTCAAAAGTTTGTCTATTCATTGCGTACTGAGTTACATTCTCCAGAGAAATAGTGATGTATCTGCATGCTTTGAAAGGACTTGAATTGTATATTAAGAAGAGACTGTTAGGGAGATCTGAAACATGCTATTTAAATAATATTTAGCTATTTAAAATGAAGACTTAAAAAGAATGTTACAAAAATATTTATACTTGTCTGTAATATTTTCATACAGATACAGAAAAGATATATCAGTATTGTAAAATTGATACTTTCATACAGATAAATTAAAGATAAAAAAGTATTGTAACATCAATCATTTTTCTCTTGAAGGTAGATGTGTGCTGTCATCTATTGTCATGTTTAAACAGTTTTTGGAAACAGTGACGTTTGACTGTGTTTATTTGTTGAAAATTCTTTATATGTTAAGGATGTTGATTGTCTATACATTGCTAATAAACACACTTATATGTTATTTACAACAGAATTGTATTGTTTTAGTATACTTTGCTATACTACTGTATAGGCTGTGTTAAGCCAAAAATCATTCTTTATTTTTTTCCAATTATATATATAAAAGACCTCTTTGTTTCAGTGACCTCACAATATCTTGCTTGTTGTTTTTGTGGGGGGGCTTAGGAGACAGAGACGAACCCGATGTAGGGATTGCCCCTACCTTGGACTTCAGCCCATGCCTCAACTAATTTTACTTGGTCTTTTCTTCTCCTTTCCTCTTCCGCATCTTCATCCCCTTTTTCTGTCCCATTCCTAAGGTGTGAGAGTTGTGTTGAAAGGATGAAAGGCTGGCTTTGTCAGTCATGAACGGCCTCCTGGAAGCCATGGGCTTGGTATTTCCTTGGTTAATTGCCTAGGCTTTACCCCTTATGAGGACCCTGAGGGGTAGACTTTCTTTTCCCCATTTTATTCAGGTTCACCATGGCCAAAAATGAAGATTCTTTTCCCTTTAAGGCTTACCCCTTCATCATCTAGCCTATCTGATGTCGATGTTGATGGTTTTCTGACCCCTGCCCCTCCTTTGACCATGGCTCAGACCACTGATACTAATACCCCCCGACGTTTACTGACAACTCTCCATTTTGAAACACCCACCCGGGTGGTTCAAAATGGTTCTATGAACTCAACCTCCAGAATGCACCCCTTCCTCTCTTCCAACATTCTCTTCTCCATCTCCTATTGCAGTCTTCAATGGCTGCCCTCCTCTTCCCTGATTACTACTCTTCATACTTATTGTCCTCTCCCCACACAGAACTACTCCACTCTACATACCCCATCTTCCTCCCACCCACATCCTTCAATTGCCTCTACCACTACAAACCTTTTGAGTACTCTCTTTAGCCCGGCCAAGTGGGATCGATTCTTTGTGATTCCCCCCATAGCCCCCTACTCTGAGAATATCTCTCCTTCAACAGTACCTCCAAAAACAAGTAGGCAAAGTTATTTTGCAGTCGCTCCGATCGTTCACGCCTTGTCACAGTTACATCAGAATCCCAAGCTCGTGCACTATCTACCCTAACTGACCTTGCTGGCAAACCCATTCCTGCCGAACCTCACCTTTCTCTTAATACTTGTCCTGGAACTGTTTCTATCCCCTCGACTGCTTGTCCCATATTTGACAAGAATTGGTCAGATTGTGAAAATTTCCTACTTACCTGCCCTGCCGATTATGATGCAGTAGCAGTACAGTGCAACACTATTCCTCCCAGAGGCCAGTGTAAGTCCCAAGTCAATATTGCCAAGATTAGCTTATGTAAACATGACCCCCCCCCCCACCCCCATGAAGTTTATATTGGTGGATTGTCCCACCATATCGACCCCTTCCTCGTCGATGTCAGAAATGTCGTTTTGGCCACCCAGCCAAACACTGTCGCTCCATTGCCGCTGCCTTCTATGTGCCCAGCTTGGTTATGACCGTTCCAATTGCTCTGCTCAGTCAACTGTTGTTACTCCCATAACGTATTTTATAGGAGCTGCCCTGCCTATAACCTCGAATGTGAGATAACAGTTCTCAGATTCAAACTAGGCCTTACGCCTCACTTTATGGGAGGCTAGACTGGAGGCACGATCAGGTTTTTCTTGCTCTACCTATTCCGAAACAGTCCTTCGCTCTGCACCCTCTCCCCTATCTCCACAAGTTGTTTTTGTATATCCCCCAGCATCTCTACCCTGAACCATCATACCTGTACTCTCCCTTTTCCACTCTAAATCCAGATACTCCAACCTCTAACCACTTCTCCGATACCTACCGTTCATTCCTTCACTTTACGCGTCGCACCTGACAACCTAAACGTCCTACTCCATCTTCGCCTTCTACACCCTCATTTTCCTCCTCGAACATCTATCCCCTCCTCTAATCGACATACATGTCGTCCGGATTCCTCCTCTCCTGACTCTCTTCCTGATACTTACCCTCTTTCC